GACAAAAATGGGAATTCTGAGGAACTTTAGGGATTTTGAATGCCGTTCACCATTTGTCACCAACAGTTGCAGCCTGGTGAGGCACTATCTTTAGATACATATTGGGATAAAGGAGATCTAAAGCAGAAAAACACAATAATTTGTGTGTAATGAAGGTACAATTTTTATTTTTAGCTTGTGAGATACAGAAATCCTCATAATTAAAACCCGCAAATTGAATGTTCACTCCCAAAAGGTGATAATCTGTGTCATGCCTTTAAAAAAAGATCATTAAGACTTGCTACAGTTTCTATTAATAAATCGAACGCTGAGAATTTCTAATTGAGACAATGTGATAAACTCCAATCACCAGCTGGGTGATCCCTCGGATTCCTTTATCTTAGTCCCACCCTTTGTATTAATGGCCTTGTTGCCAGCTTCTCCTGGCTGGTGCTGACAGAACACTGATAGCTGATCTTATAGAGGAATCCAGTTAGATCCGCATCAATAAATCAGCAGACTTGTGATCCTGAAGCGTCTTACTTTTTCTCCACAGCAATAAATGTCAAATGACAACTCAGCTGCTGGAGAAGACGGGCCTTTGTGCACCCATTTACTACTTCTTCAAAGAATCTGCAACAGTATATAATTAGTTTAGGTCAATAGAAAAGGCAGCCGGTGGTGGGAGTACTGATCGCTGGTGGGCAGACAGCACCAACTGTCTGGGCAGCTGGGATCAATACAATTAACAAGGAGGGAAAGCAGAACGCTTGACGGAAACTTGGATGGAAAGAAGAGGCCTGTTGGCTGCAGGAGGAGAAAGCATCTGTAAATAACAATAAACTCATGAATGTGTCCATGTCCTAACATTTAAAGGCTGGACCGTGTCAATGAAAGCAAATTGTGATTTATTTGCAATCAGATACTTTCAATCTCCTCCTGCGTGAGCTAAAGCGGGAGTAAACTGGAGCGAACCTCCGCCGCGCTTAAAGGCAGGGCATAAATGAGGACAAATCATCTGGCTTCATCAGCTTCTGCAGGAGTGGAAGAAAAAAACCTAAAGTTTACATTTTGAATTATAGCTTGATTTAATAACTTTGTGAGGAGTTTTAATTTAAACAAAGCTTTCTATGAATATTTAGACAAATCTAAGCCATTTAGCTAACAATTAGTCTGTATTTAGTGAATAAAAATCCTAATGAAACAAAAAATAAATCAAGTAGGTTCAGATCTCCACTAGTATTCATATTGTATCATAGATTCCATTTTAAAATTCTATTATACATTTAAAAATAATTAAATTATCATTTCAGGCTGTTTAATAAAAATCCCGATTCAGTTTTTTGAAACTCATAATCAGAAACAACCTCATGTAAATCATCATCATTAGCTGTAACTGAATCCAAGTACTGTATTTCTGCCCTCCTTTCAATACCTTTATAAATATGAGATGATAGCTCTGTGATTAGCTCGTCTGTACCAAATGAGCTCATGAAATATTCATCAACTTAGTGAAGGAAACATTCGCCTAAAAGAGCACCTGATAGATGATCAGAGTGAATGAGGAGATCAGAGATGAGTTAAAGACATCATGATGTTTTCTACAAAGCCAGACAGACTAAACTCCCACACTATAAAGAAATAACTAAAATGGTTTTGGAGCAAATCTGATATCAGAGGGTGTCAAATGTACAAAAGTCCAATAAGACACAAATAGTGTTGAGGAGTGATGGGCAGAAAATTTGCTCTGCGATGAAGAGGAGAAGAGAGGATAGACATGAGACCTTTGAGAGTAGGGTAAGAGATCACATCTAGCTCCAATTGTCTGTCCTTATTCACTGTATGACAGGTCACATCTGTGGGAAATAGCATAAATAAATAATATTCCTACAGAATAGAAAGAAAAAGAAGAGAGGGAGTCTGGAAAGAAGATAGTTTAAAATCTGCAATTACAATAGATTGTGCTATCTTATATATACATATATATATATATATATATATATATATATATATATATATATGTATATGTATATATATATATATACATATATACATATATATATATATATATATATATATATATATATATATATATATATGTGTGTGTGTGTGTGTGTGTGTGTGTGTGTGTGTGTGTGTGTGTATACTTAAAACACATTCAACATGTTAAAGGGTTCTGTTTAGGGGTGCACCAGTTGCAGTTTTTGGCCCATCACCGATCTTGGAAGAAAAAAACTAGATCAGGGCCGATAGATCGGTTGGCCACTTATTACAATGTGAACTGTGTATTTATGAGTTTCCATAGAAGAAAATGTGTTATATAAACAGGAGCTCTATTCTTACAGCAGTTAAATCATTTTGTTTGCAACCCACCCATCCATCCATCTATTTTCGTCCGCTTATCCAGGGTCGGGTCGCTGGGGCAGTAGCATAAGCAGGGAGGCCCAGACTTCCCTCTCCCCAGCCACTTGGGCCACTCCTCCGTGGGAATCCCAAGGCATTCCCTGGCCAGCCAAGAGACATAGTCCCTCCAGCTTGGACGTGCCAGGAAAACCTCATCAGCGAGGCATGCATGAGGCATCCTAGCTAGATGCCTGAGCCATCTCAACTGGCTACTCTTGATGTGAAGGAGCAGCGGGTCTACTCCGAGTCCCTCCTGGATGACCAAGCTTCTTACAGACTCACTTGACAGACTCACAAACTGGGTAGGACTATCAGGCACAGTGCTTGGCTGGTTCCAATCATATCTCAAAGACAGGGGCTATGATGTCTCTATTAGGGATCATGAATCAAAGACGATCACCATGACATGCGGGGTCCCCCAAGGCTCAATTCTAGGACAGCTACTCTTTAATCTCTATATGCTCCCTCTGGGTCAGGTCATACTTAATAACAACATAGCCTATCATAGCTATGCTGATGACACCCAGATGTACCTAGACTTATCACTTAAGGACTGTCGTTCACTGGACTCACTCTGTCAGTGCCTAGATCAAGTAAATGACTGGATGCAGTCAAACTTCCTTCAACTAAACAAAGACAAGACTGAAGTTATTGCCTTTGGCAACAAAAGGGATAGAATGGATGTTATTGCTCAGCTAGGCTCCAGGGGAATAAAGACAAAAACCCAGGTTAGAAATCTTGGTGTTATTGGCTCAGACCTGAGCTTCTCTGGATATATGAAGGATATAACTAAATCAGCGTTTTATCACCTTCATCAAATATCAAAAGTTAGAGGTCTCATGTCCAGACCAGGCTTAGACAAACTTATTCATGCTTTTATTTCTAGTCGGCTGGACTATTGCAATGGTTTCCCAACTCGTCTTCCCAAAAAAAAGCTGTGAGGCAACTGCAGCTGGTTCAGAATGCTGCTGCTAGAGTCTTAACTCATTCGCTGCAAGCCATTTCCTGATCGGTAAAGCCCTTCGCTGCCAGCGTTTCTCACCGTTTTTACTGTTATTTTAAGAGTGGCAGAACGTTGCGCGCTAGGATGATGTCGACGCCAAAACTACCAAAACAAAGCGGGGACTGACCTCTTACATCAGGAAGAATCTGCGCGTTCCGAGCATTATCTGTTCTTTCATAATCCGTTGTTGAATTGTGATCGGCAGAAGCTTTTCCGGTTCGCGCCTCACCTTTTTTACAGCAGCGGCCCAAAATGATCTCCTAATATATGGATTTTCTGCTTCCTGATCATGTGACGTGTGACGTATGAAAATCGGCTTTAGAGCTGAGATGTTGTTTCTCACAGTGCGGGGGCTCGTTCCGATGCCCACACAGTAAAAACATGCAAATGACGACTTCACTCATCATTGGCAGGTAACGGTTGGATTTAAAATGATGACTTTAGTCGTCAGTGGCAGTGAATGAGTTAACAAGAACTAAGAGAATGGAGCACATCACTCCTGTTCTTAGATCCCAACACTGGTTACCAGTAAACTACAGAATAGATTTCAAAGAGCTCCTACTAGTTAATAAATCACTCAGTGGCATGGGACCAAAATACTTGTTCGATCTCATTCCTGTATATACACCCAATAGGGCTCTGAGATCCCTTGGAAACAATCAGCTGGTAGAACCACGGGTCAGAACAAAACATGGTGGAGATGCATTTAGTTACTATGCTGCTCACATATGGAAACAGCCTCCCCATGACCTCAGATCTGCCCCAACCCTAGTGTTGTTTAAAACAAAACCAAAAACCCTCATGTACTCATCAGCCTTTAAATGAATTGCTTGTCATCATGCGTCATCTCCACTGTAATCTGTGCTGTAACTTTGTCTTCTCCTTTAGCTCTAAACTGTAACTCTATCTGTATTTTAAACTGTGTTTTTATGTTGTTTTCATATCATGTCCTGCAAACTGTAAAGCACATTGAATTGCCTTTGTGTTTGAAATGTGCTCTATAAATAAAGCTGCCTCGCCTTGCCTTACCCTATCTCTATGAGAGAGCCCAGACACCCTGTGGAGAAAACTCATTTTGGATGCTTGTATCCGTGATTTCTTTCTTTTGGTCGCTATCTAAAGCCTGTGACCATAGGTGAGGGTAGGATTTTAGATTGACCAGTAAATCGAGAGCTTTGCCTTCTGGCTCAGCTTTCTCTTCATCACGACAGACAGGTGTCACACCCGCATCACTACAGGCGCAGCACCAATCTGTTTGTCAACCTCTTGCTCCATTTTTCCCTCATTCGTGAACAAGACGCCGAGATACTTAAACTCCTCCACTTGGGGCAGGACCTCATCTCTGACCTGGAGAAGGCATTGAAACCCATTTTTGCATTTATCTCTCTCTTCTGCCTAAACCTGGCTGTATTGTAGGGTCATAAACATCCCTGTGTCCATTGGGGAGGATGCTTTTCAAGTTGTCTACGTAAAGGCAAGCTCAAATCCTCCATGACAGGGAGGTCCACACTGAGTGGCCTAATGTGACTTGTGATTGCAGAAGAACAACAAGGAGGAAACCCAACTGATCACACAGCAAGCATAAAAAAGCACATTTACAGGATGAGTCACAGACCTCGGCTTTGCGCATCATCTCTTTGGTGTCTTCTATCTTCAGCTCCAGGTCTAGTCTGCCCTGCTCAGTAGGAGGAAGGCCATGACTCTCACACTCCTCCAGAGACTGAAAGTAAAACACACACAGGAACAGTGGTTAAGTGTGTTTGTGTATTAAAATAAACTTATGTAACACTCTTGTGTGTGTTTTGCTCTTACTCTCTTATAGTGAATGATGTTCTTGTGCTCTCTGGCCACTCTGGTTGCCCATTTTCTGGCCTCTTTGTTAAGGCTGTGCTCCTCGGTCGTCCCAGACTCTGATTCTAGCTGACGGCTCTTAAATACCCCACGCACACAAGCACACACACACACACACACACACACACACACACACACACACACACACACACACACACACACACACACATGCAGAAACAGGTATGGGTAAACACACAGTCAGCATTAAAGCTTTAGGTGTATGATGTGCTGTGTAGTTGTTAATTAAACAATAAAAAGTGAGAGTGAACTTTTTTCTCCTCAGATAATTGAAACAGTGTGTTTAAAGGCTCAGTTATTGTCTCACATCTATATAAATATTATTAAAACCACATGTGGAAGACTGAGTGTAAGAAAGTGTCTGCGTTTACTATGGATTTAATTTTTTATGCAACAAACAAAAGGAAATAACTTCGCTCTGCCAACCAATTAACCCAACGGAACAATAAAACATCATTATGCATCTGTTACAACCAAGTGAAAAATGTTGTACTTTATCTGGCTATATGTTGAATTCCCTGAATAAAACTATATGAGAAAAGATGAAGTTATTAGGAGTTTATTTAATCTAAACTGTCTAACCTTTTTATACTGAATTTTGGGTAGTAACCTACTAAAATCTGAGAAACTATTTTTAGCACATTATAAAAGTTGTGGAAGTAAAACAGAATCATAGGGTCAGGAATTCCTCAAGGCGTTTGGATACAAAAACAACATTTAATATCACACAGCTCTAAAACGCCCACCAGCCTGTTTTATATTGGTGACTGGAGGATGATTGTATTAACCTCTAAGTGTCTTTCTATTATAGTTAAATAAAAAGGATGCATCTGGCAAATTAAGTTACATATATCACTGCAATTAGTACACTGCTGTACTTAGAAATGCACCCATTCTGGTTTTCAGGTCGATACTGATCACCATTTTTTGTGGATTTCTGTTGCTACAGATGTCTTTTTTCCAAATTTCCAATTAAAGCTGCATTTTGCTTAAAACATTTTTTCATGCCTCTTAACAACTTTTTAATGTAGCATAGTATATATTGTTGAAATAAAAAAAACAAACGAAATTAATAAGGTGGTTCTCTCTCATTTATCCAAAAACCTCAGTTAATAACACGTTTCGAACCAAAAGCAACAATTGGACCATCAGTTGGCGAGAGCTGTCTGTCTTGCTGAACTGCCACACTTTCCCGGGTCCTCCATTCATGACACACCACTGGTGTGAGAGGTTTGTGGCTCAGTAGGAGAAACAGCCGATTGCTACCGCTGCAACTTTAGGACAAACTACCAGAGTCTCAAAAAGAAAAACACCATTTGAAATGGCGAACAACAAAAGATGTTTGGATCTAGAAAATGGTGTAATGAATCAAAAGGGTCAATGGCGACTGGTAGGGCTGCTCAATTAATTGAATTTTAATCACGATTACGATCTGAGTTTTGAACGATTATAAAAAACAAAACAAGCCGATTATTTGCTCCTCCCGCTTGCGCTGCCCTGAGTTGCAAATGAAGCACTCCTCCCACAGTGTTGCCAACTTAGTGACTTTGACGCTATTTCTAGCAGCTTTTCAGACCACCTTCTTGACTTTTTAACTTAAAAGTACCTAGCGAACATCTCAGAAACATCTCTGGTAACCCTTAGCTACTTTCTGGATAACTGTCGTCGACGTTTCCTGCAGGTTAGCTAAACACCGCCTGTGCTCCGGACCGTTCTTCAGGACATTAGGAAAGGGAATGATGTAGTGATGTGTCAGTCGCTAAAGAAACAGCTCTCAGAGCCGGCTCCCTGTTGGATTAACCAGAGTGAGTGACACACCACACCTGCGCATTCCTAAGCCGCTAAAAACGGCTAAATGTGCGCGTGCGGCGCGCTAAACACGCGTGCAGCTTGCCACTGATTGCTGTGAAACCGGGTTTGGGGGGTGGGGGGTGCAGCTGTGGTTGGGACAATTATTACATTAACTGATGGACTTGTGAATAAATAGTTTATAAATAAGGTAGAAATAAGTTCCTCACGCTGATAAATAATAAATAATCTCTCTGAGGACACGGTGCTAGTGCACGCTCCTACAGCACCTTGACACGACTCAATAAATGTATGCAAAATTTTGTGAACATCAATTTATTTGCATTTATTTGTTATAAATGCCACTGTATAATTCTTGCTGTCAGTATTTGCAAGATATTGGTATTTGGGTCTGTACTGGTTAGACTTAAATGATTTAAACCAAGGTCTATAGCCCTTGGGTCATAGACAATGAGCTATAAGTATATTGGTCTTTTTATACTGGGAATCAGGAGTTATTTTAGTGATCATCTTGTTTCTTATTTCTTTTTGTCCTGATTGTGCCCTGAGCAATTTTATGACTGAATAAAAACAATTAAAATCAACATAAATTGAAAAATCGTCCTAAATAATCGTGATCTCAATTTCAGTCACAATAATCGTGATTATTATTTTTGCCATAATCGAGCAGCCCTAGCGACTGGTGTGTAGCACTATCTCGTTTTGTCCTGCTTCGCCGAGGGGAGGGGTAAGTGTTCTGTGACCGTGTTTGCGTTCAAAACCTTGCTTGTTTTCGTTAGCACAGCTTTAGCTTAAAAACAGTTAATCAGGAGGTAAAATCTCCACATGAAAGACCTGTCATTGCTAGCTTAGTGATGTTTCAATCCCAGTTTAGCAGACCACCAATGTTGATGACTGTGTGCGCTATCAGCTGATTCTTGGTGCATCTCTAGCCACTCTTAAAATGTTTTATGCAGTGCTGACAACAGCAGTGATAGCAGAGTTTGGCGCAAAGTTTAGTTCAGTTTTTTTTATTATTGTACACAACTGTGCTGTCACTTTAGTGCTAATAAAATATGGCTGACAGAAACAGAGCACGAGGATGCCCAGACATTTGTCACTGCTGTGTGTCCACTTGTATGCCTATGTAACGTCCAGCAATGGTCGTAATAATGATAATGTAATAAACGTACTGAGCTAAAGTGTATAATATTTTAAATACACCTTTAGTTGCAAATCATAACTATTAATTAAGTGCTGATTCAGTAATACTGGGGTATAAATCTGGTTAAGTGTAGATGTGGAACCGAAAGCATCACCCCAGAGATTTACAGCTTAATTACATTTGGGCACAAGAGAATCACTGAGAGTCAATGGAGCGAAGCAGAACTCTAGATTAAAACACTGGCACCAAGACAAAAAGACTACATCACATTGTCAGATTTAAAGATTCTCAATAATTAACCATTACAATTTCAGATAGGATGATGCGCAATATAGCAAGATCAGCCTTTCAGAAGAAAAAAAATCTCAAGTACAGTGTAATGACCTGACCATCTACAAACAGTACTTCTACAAAACCTCAAAGTGCTCAATAACAGTCATTTTCTGCACTACATCACAGTTATGTTGTTGTGAAGACACACTGAGCGAGAAGTGTGAGTGGACACTTTAGAATAGTAGATGTGTGTGAATGAGGAGTAAAGGCACATTTTTGCACACATTTTATTTCTATTATTATTATTATTATTATTATAATTATTATTATTATTATTATACCACACTTTTTAAAACATTATTTTTTTGTTCATGTGTATGTATAGCCTAGTGAAGTAGACCAAATTCTTGCTTTGCAAAGTTTGGTCTAGGAACGCTCCACTGGAACCTCTGCAGCCCCAACAGCATTCTGGCTGGCCAATCACAGCTCTCTAGAGGGATTTCAAACACAAAGAGCTGTGATTGGTCCATAATGGTGGGCCAATCATAGTGCTCTATCTGCTTAGTGAACAAATCACAGAGCTTTATCCACTTTGTGGGTCAATCAGGGCACTCTATATGCCTGGTGGGTGGGATGATGCAACAGAGTGAAACAAGATGGCGACAGCTCATTTGAAACTGCTTTTACATACATTTTGGACTATTAGAACTTGGGCTTCATTAGAATCAGGAGCAGATAGATGCATTTAAGTGCTTTTTTTTTTTTTTGAAAAAATTATGCGTTTTCTCCTTTTTCAACTGTGGGCCGCCTCATTTACCAAAAGCTGTTGCGGTGAGTATGTCACATTCATTGTCCAGCAGCATGCAGAGATCATTTGAAAGACAACGGTAGAACCCGCCCCACAACCGAGAGCCATCAATGGAGCATTGCCAGACTAAATAATACATTTATTTAGTCTGGCTTGCCAGGCTAGTGTATGTAATTTCCTCATGTAAAAAATATATTACTGATATTTTCAAATATTTTATAATTCAACTAAAAATCTAATTAGAACTATGGATAGACACACTCCTAAAGTCAGATTTGTCTTCATCTAACAATTTCACCCATTCAAATCCAACACTTTGATAAACTTCCAAATTTAACAAAATAGACCAAAAACTAAAAACAACACAGTGTCAACAAAGTTATCTCAGTGAATTTCCTGCAAATTACACAACAAATTTACTTCTGGATTCAGAAGATTGGATGCCACGGTAATGATCCAGGAAATTAAGAACTTAACTTACATAGAAATGTAATAATTGATTTCATGTGCACCCCATGATTTACACTGTTGGAGTAAAGCAGATAAAGATAGGAGTGTTAAGAACGTTTAGATCAGGGTCTGGAGCTTTTCGGAGACCGTGAGCTACTTTTACACGAATAATACAGAAGAGCTACTGTCGTACAATTCATTCATATTGGTACATTGCATGTGTGAATATGCCTACTATGTTTAAAATGCTATGCTCACTATGTTAACATGCATTGTACTCCCAAGGTGATTTCTCTGCATTTCAATACAATTAAAGTTCACCACCCTCTCCTTATTCTGCTCTTACCAATTCCGCCTTTCCCGGGATCCACTGAAACTTCTTTCTTATTCAATTTCACTTTCCCCTTCCTTAAATTTTTGAATCACATTATTTAATTTTTATATCATTTTTATTTTTTACACTTTTGTTCCTTTGAGGCGCCTTGTGATTTCTATCTTGAGAGGTGCTATACAAAAGACTGTTTTTTTTTCTTTCTTTACATCATTAAAAAAAGTAAGAGGAAAATAGTGACATTCCTGTTTTGAAACTCAAGCAGCAATGTCAGTTTATCATAATATAAAAATGTCAAAAATGAACAAATACTTCAAAAAACTATAGAATGCCATGTAAAGAACATTTAATGTTCTTTACATGGCATTCCATACAAAATCTTTCAAATAATTGTTATTTTATGATTATTTTTCCAAACAATGCAACAGAAAAAAGTTTAACTTCACTAGTGAACAGCTGCAGTTAAAATGATGCTTTGCCAGATTTTTGTTGATGATATTAAAACAAGGTTGGAGGTTTACCCTTTACCTCTGCCTCTTGATCAGCTGATGAGTCTGATGGCTGCGCAACACGGAGCGATTGAGAGTAAGACAGAGAGAGCTTTCACAATCCTGTTTTATTCCTAAATAGGATAATCAGCTGAAGCAGTTGAGTGAAATTAGTGGAAACTAAATCACAGGAGATGTTTAGAAAGTTTGAAAATGTGTGTTCATAAACAAACAACGTTCTACTTGAGTTAATGAGCTATTACCACAAATAGGACTTTGCTGTCGCCCAGATTATTTTACTGAGGATGTTTTTCAGCTCAACATCAGACTCCTTAAACCCAAACCAGGTCTGTATAACCAACGTTATCCCTTCTTCTTTAGAAGCGATTCCATGCTGTACCCCCTTAAATGAATCTGCGTATTTCTAGTAGTACAGACTTGAACATGTTTATCAAAAAACTTGTGCATTAATCCGATTATTATTTTACTTCCACAAAAAGCAAATTTTAGATTAGATGTTACAGAAAATTGGGACGGCTTGCCAATAAATTTAAAAGCTGTCCCTTGTTACTTAAACCGTTAGTTTCAGGTGGAATGGCTCGCTGGCTACTATGCTTCAAGGGGAGCGACTAGTAGCTCACGAGCAACGTGTTGGGAGACCCCTGGTTTAGAGCAACTTCATTTATAATTTTACTTAATAAAAATTAAAGCTACTAACAAGTGTTTTTATCCAGCACAATAATTATCTAATCAAAAGATCACATAAAACAGCTTATACACCAGTGGTTCAAAGCCCTCTGATTATTTGTCATGTTTGTTTCTATCTTTAAAAAACAATAGACATGTCATGATTTGTACCAGCTGCAGCAACACTGTAAAACCGCAGCTACAAAGTTTCTCCTTAAAGAACTGTGAGGTTGCTGAGGAGGAAAAAGTGGCCTGAGAGTCATAATCGCAGATACAGAATCCGTCGGGAGAGTAAAGCTCATTAAGTAAAACCCCCAAAGAAAGCCAATAATCTTTTATTAAAACGACAAAACATCTGTAACACATAGCAAAAGTTGCCCCCCCCCCCCCCCCCCCCCCCCGGTGTTAAAAAATGCCTTTCCTGCTTGTATTTTTCTACATCTACATCTTTATCCCAGCCCTGTTGCCATGAAACTACGATCCTGTGCTGGAAAGGTTTGAGGGGAAATGGCAGAAGTTGACAACGTATAGGGCAAAAAGACACTTGTTTGGGAGAATGTTCTTCATTTGCATCTAGATGTGTTGTTAATGTTGATGTTATTACCTTCTACTGGCATGGCATCAACCTATTTGAAATTTGTTTTGGGGATGGGAATAGTTTGAGAAGCCAGAGAGAGACCAGGATGTTAGTGGAGCAGAAATGAAGGTGAGTAGTTAACAACAAGTAAAAATACCTCTGCCAGGGTCATTCTCATGGCACTGACGGGCGATGGCTCAATGTCCACCAACTGCTGCACCGAGCCCAGAGTCTGACACACACACAAACGCACACACAGCAGTGCAAGTGCACAGACACACAAACACAAGCAGGGGTTAATGGGAGAAAAAGTTTAGGAAAATGTTAGCACATGTTGAAGAAGAGCAGAAAGACATAAGAGCAGAACGTTGTTGAAAAGAAAACATGTTAAAGTGACAGGGGAGAGAGAGAGTGACAGAGAGAGAGAAGGCACAGAACTGAAGTGTGTGACTCACACACACACAAGCGAAAGCGATCACTACGTCTAGAGGGGAATTTGAGACTGTGTCCACTGAGAGACGTTTCTTATACAGAAATACTTAACAAGTCCACAGAGGAGTGAAACAGCACTATTCCAACTGCTGTGCTGCATTCACAAAACATTGACAACAATCTTAAACATGTTAGACTCAGCGATCAGTTGAAAATGGTAGATGTTTTAATTAGTTTAGTTGGACGATAAAAGATTCAAAGAAGGATTATTTCTCAGAGGACGAACATTGGTTGGAAATTAAAATTAGAACAAGAAGTTGATTCATCTGGTCACAAGACACTAGTTAGCAACACAGCTTTGAATCGTTAGCATGAAAAAACAAAGATTCTTCAAATGCTGGTAAGAAAAGACCCAAAGCTATCTCTGGAGAGAGAGTGATCATAGCTTTTCACTGAAAGCCTCTGAGTCCGCGGTGTAATGACGGTCACTGTGATTAAAACAATAGAAAGGAAACAACTTTGTTCCAAAAATTCAGCTGATTAAAAAGAGCTGAGAGCTGAACCCACAGCTGCAGGGAGGAAAAGATGCAAATACTGGGGGCTGAAAGTGTCCAGTGTGTGTGTGTGTGTGTGTGTGTGTGTGTGTGTGTGTGTGTGTGTGTGTGTGTGTGTCTGTGTAAGTGTGTTCTTGTACATACTACATACTGAGGACCATTTTGACCATTTTCCTTACAAAGTGAGGACATTTTTTGGGTCCTCACTTTTTTTTAGAATCATACCAGAAGCTTACTATACCAGTTAGAGGTATAGTGTGAATTAAGTTTTAGTTAAGGTTAGGAATAGATCAGTGTTGGTTATGGTTGGGGTTGGGGTATGGGTTAGGCATGGTGAAATCACAAATGTGAATGGAAGTCAATGGAGGGTCCTCACTATGATAGAAAGACAGACGTGTGTGTGTGTGTGTGTGTGTGTGTGTGTGTGTGTGTGTGTGTGTGTGCGCGCGCGGGTGCGTGCGTGCGTGTGTGTGTGTCTTTCTGAGTCTCACCATGTCGTATTCACTGGGCTGGAACTGGAAGTCGTGTGCTTTGTGAAACACAGGATTTTCTTGCATGAACAACTGCTGATTGAACTCTTGTATTATCTGAAAGAGAACAAATAAGATTTATTGATATATTATGGCTCCACTGGATTGGCAGACCATAGTAGTTCACCCAACCAATCTACATGTGTTTTGTGGATTGGGAGAAGGCGTTCGACTGCGGCCCTCGGGAGGGCTTTGGGGGTACTCTAGGAGTATGGAGTACTAGACACCTTGATGTGGGCTGTTAAGTCCCCATATGTGTCAGAGCTTGGTTCACATTGTCGGCTGTAAGTTGGGCTTGTTTCCGGTGAGTTGGTTCCCTTTGTCACTCATTCTGATTTCTAAGTGAAACCAAGGTGGTGAGGGGATCCGTTTTGGTGACCTGAGAATCAGGTCTGTGTCTTGCAGATGATGTGGTCCTGTCGGCTTCATCAGAAAGTGATGTTTTTTGCTGGAGCGGTTTGCAGTAGATTGTGAAGCAGCTGGGATGAGAATAAGCTCCTCTAGTTCTCACACCATGGTCTTGAGTCAGAAAAGGGTAGAATGCCTTCTCCAGGTCAGGGAAGTGGTCCTGTGCCAAGTGGAGGAGTTTAAGTATCTTGGGGTCTTGTTAATGAGTGAGGGAAAGATGGAGCATGAGATAGATAGGTGGATTGGTGCTGCATCTGCAGTGATGCAGGCGTTGTACTGATCTGTCGCAGTGAAAAGAGAGCTGAGCTGGAAGCCAAAGCTCTCGATTTACAGGCCGATCTATGTTCCTACCCTCACTTATGGTCACGAGATTTGGGTAGTGGCCAAAAGAGCAAGATCGCGGATACAAGTGGTCAAAATGAGTTTTCTCTGCAGATTGTCTGGGCTCTCCCTTAGAGAAGCTCGGTCATCCAGGAGGGGTTCAGAGTAGACCCGCTGCTCCTCCACATCAAGAGGAGTCAGTTGAGATCTGCTGCTCCTCCACATTGGGAGAAGCTATTTGAGGTGGTTCAGGCACTTAATTAGGATGCCTCCCTTGTGAGGTTTTTCAGGAATGTCCAACTGGGAGGAGACCTAAAGGAAGACCCAGGTCAAGCTGGAGGGACTATGTTTCTCAGCTGGCCAGGGAATGCCTTGGGATTGCCCCAGAGAAACTAGCCCAAGTAGCTGGGGAGAGGGAAACCTGGGCCTCTGCTTAGGCTGCTGCCCCCGTGACCCGACCCCAGATAAGAGCAGGAAAATGAATGATGGATGGATTTTGTGGCTGGATACTGAGATTATCGCTTGGTGGCAACTTGTGTGGAAATCAACAAATTAATTAAGAGCAAGAAATAAGTTTTGTTTTAAAGCCTGATCTACTATATGAGGTCCAAAAAAACAATTACTTGTTTTTTTCTCATTCTTTTCTGCATTCGATATCATTTTCCATTCATTTTAATAAATAACTAAAAAAACTGATTTCCTCCAAAATGACTGGTAGAAACATTCACACCAAACCAAAACAATGAAGTCATTTTAACATATCCCAAATAGTTAGAGCAACAAGTACTATGGGCTGCGTGGTGGCGCAGTTGTTAGCACTGTTGCCTCGCAGCAAGAAGGTTGCAGGTTTGAAACTCGGCTGCGGCCTTTCTGCGTGGAGTTGCGTGTTCTCCCCGTGTATGCATTGGTTTCCTCCAGGTACTCCAGTTTCCCCCACAGATCACAACATGCCCTATAGGTAGGGACTGCATGACTTAATTTTTTTTAATGTCGACAGTCAAGTAATGAAAATCGAGTCGACTTTGACTAGTCGTTGATGACGTCATACACCTGAAGCGGGTTGGTTCGCTGGAGTTTGTGACAATTGAAATTGTGCCCACATTTTCAAAGTTAAACACATCTCTTCTGCATCTTTACTGTTCCCCTGCTTCAGCCCTCTCCCCCCTCCCCCTGCGCAGTGGCCACAAACTCACTGATGCACCTGCAGCCTCTCAGAGTTCCTGCTGCTCTAAACATTAAAATAATTATTTCATTTTCTGTTCCTCACTTCAGAATACCTACGATGGTGTCTGTTTGTTGCAACCACCAGGTACAAAAATGAACTTGTTTTTATTTGACTATTTTTCTGTCCTGTCTCTGTTTATTATCTTCCTGCATCTCCTCTCAGTCCTAAAGAAAAACTGCTACCTGACTTCATATTTATTCACCCTATGAGTTACCTTTGAACAGCAGTTCTAAAAGAACAGCGGAGTGCGCGCTGCGCGCCGGCCGCACCAGTGAGGTGTTTTGCATGCGCAAGCTAGTTAAGGTTAGGATGAGGGTGAGGTGAAGGTTAAATTGCAAGAGGGTAAAAGTCACAATTCGGTCAAATGTCCGACGCTCTGGCACAGCGCGCCGCCTCCCGACGCGCAGGGGCTCGTCACCTGCTGTCTTTTCCGAGGACTGCATCTTGTCGGTCATCATCACGTGACAGCGACTAGTCAATGAAAGGCATAAAAAGTCACTACAGAGCAGTGAAGTCGACTAGTTGATACAACCCCTACCTACAGGTTAACAATTGTACGTCGCTTTGGATAAAAGCATCTGCCAAATAAATAAACATAAACATATTCCTCTCGAAATTCACCCAAAACAGTTGATTTACTTTATGTTTCATACATTTGCAAAACCTTCCAAATTAATGCAACATCTTACTCACCCTGGTGGATTTTTCTAAAAGGAACTGGTAGGTGGTGTGTGTAGCCTGTGAGGCCTCCTGCTCAGTGCGGCACAGGGCGACCAGGTAGTCTTTTACATGCTCATAGATCCTTCCATCCAAGGCCTAGAGAACAGACAGGGGGAAGGACAATGGGGTCACAACAGAAGAACTCAGTGGAATTTCATTTTCGAAAACAATATAATCAAAAGAGCAAGGGATACACCAAGAAGAAGAAGAAGAAAGAAGATCAATGATCAGGTGAACAAAGCTGCATAATACAATATATTCATATGTTACCCACTAGAGGTGTATCGGCAACAATCTGGTTACACGGTTTATATCACAACACAGGGGAAGACGATTTGATGCATTGTAATCCTAAAAGCCAGACAATATTTTTTTATTTTTACGTCTGAATTTCATTGGAAAACTCAGGCCAGATGCTTCCAAGACACATTGGCCCAATCCCAATACTCACACTTCCACCCTTGTGCCCTTCAATTGCACGTTCCAATGTCCCAATCCTCATTTGTGGAAGTTGACCACATCCCTTTTGCACCCTTGATCCGCACTTGGCCCAGGTCCGCATCGATATGGACTTGGGCCAAGTGTATTACCCACAATCAATTGCTGCATGGGAATTTTGAGAAGAAAGCGGAACAAAGGTTCAAGTGCCTTTTCTGCAAATGTGTATTTTTAAACTAAAGTAGTTAATTTTTGGACGATTAATGATATTTATTCATGCTCTGAATGTTTTTGACTAATATTTAATGTGGACAGCAATGAATGTTAATTGTTTGTTTGAAAGTTGTTAATAACGTTTTTTAAGATGTAGCACAAACAGCAACCGGCATCCCGGCAGGCATCGTGGTCGATGAGGCAAATTCGGCAATTATTTGCACACTCAAAGTCTTACTGTGCACTTCCTCCAAGTGCACGTAACAGAAGACCGAAGGGCACAGTGCGAGAATCAGGACTGGCCATCCAGTGTTCTCGTCAGATCTTGTTGTTCCATCAGAATGAAAGTGACAAAAATCGCTGCCACCTAGCAGCTGGAGATTGAATTGCACCATACAAAAAATAGAGTAAATATTTGCATTGCTTTCAAATATCAATTCAGTGTCATAACATGTTAAATCAGTGTGCTGCTATGTTCTTACATCAAAATTAACCACATTCATTCATTCATTCATTCAGGACTGTAACAACCCATTTCAAACATCTGCTAATTTGCTACTTGAGTCAAATATTAAAAGTTTGAAAACCCCAAGTGACATTCTAGCCATACACATATCAAATAATTTATTTCATTCTACATTTTGATGTTTTTATTCCAATCTGTTTTCTATTTCAAAAGGGTTTGGGTATTTTAAGCAGATGTTATAAAAGGATAAAAAAGAGAGAGAAAATGTTAAGTTTTTATTATAAGATTATCAGTCCTGTTTAAATATAAATCTGTTTTAGGGTGATGTAGAATATCAACTTTATCTAAATGTTTTTTAAGAACTAAAACCCAAAATAAACATTGTGTAAACCAATGGGACAAACTGTCGTGGTGAACTGTAGCCAGACTGAAACCAAGCACAGCCTTGTGTTTGACAGCTTTCAATAGATGATGTATGAAGCCCAAAATATTGTTGCTGAGCTGCAGATCCATCCAAACAGAAATCAGATAGACACGAAAGAGTGCACAGGTAATAGAGAAGAGAAGAAAGAGCTTTTTGAAACCGTCTTAGCAGCTTTGTGGGATTGTAAAAGTTAGCATACAGAGGTGTGTGTGTGAGTATGTTTTCACAGCTGCAGTGGAAGGTGAAAGAGTTCAAAACAAAACCACAGACACACACACACACTTGAAACTTTAAAGGCTCAAACACTCTCCTCCAGCCAGAGCACTCCAGAAACCTGCATTAACTGCAGGAGCCAGTGGGTCTTGTGAGTCAAGTGTCTTTCTCCCCTCGCAGACAAACATAAATATTTGATTTGATTCTGCTTCGCATTATGTTCCCTTTGAACATCCTCTATAAAAAGAGTTTTTAATGTACTTGTAAATCAATTTGAGTTCCAGCTCCCCACGAATGAAAACAAAAGCTTCAAATGTGCACATAAACATCCCAGCTGTGGCTTTTGCTCACATTTAACTCAGTCTTATAAAACAATGGGATATTGACGAGGAAATGATGTCATTCAGGGTGGGTTGCAGGCCGACTCCTCTCCACATGTTCCCTCATCACTCTGGTAATTTCCTCCTCCTCCCCCTCTTTTTCACCTCTCCCTCCCCTCCTATTATTCTGTCCATTTACGGTAGTGCTGAAATCAAGTGAGTCAGCTTCCAGAAAAAGCTTGGCGTCTGTACAGTAGCCAGCTCTTTTATTTTTTTTCTTACGTGTGTGTGTGACTTAATGCTGAATGACTGCTTCAGTCTGAACATAAGTTCAGCACAGAAGGGCAGACAGGGCAGCGGAGGTGTGAAATGGTGTTTTTCTGTATCTAAATGGTTAAACTGACCAGCAGAGGGAGACGTGGAGCAGCTCCTGTTCTTTCACAACAACTGTCGCATTGACAAGGACAGCAGAGCTCACCAGTTACCGCTGCAGACAGGAACTGCTGTCAACAATGTCCGTGTTTATAAATAAAGATTTGATCCAAATATTTTAGCATCACCTTCAAATGTGATTGATTAATTAGTCTGCTTCTAAATTAGTGTCAGATGACCTGACTTCATCCCATTAAAGAGACGGGATTGCTGCAGAACTGGCTGCCCGACTGCCTCTTCATATCAGCGGCAAAAGAAACTTTTTATGATGAAGTGAAAAATGCAGACATTGTTGTGCAGATGCGTTATCGTCGGCTCAGTAAAATGGTGTTACAGATCTTTACGAGGACCTGTAAACACCACCAGCAGAACTACAGAGGAGAGGGAGGAACAGCTTGCTCGCCTCAAGCAGTGTCCCTCATTCTCCTTGTGTGTTAGCATGCACAGATTTGTGTACAGGCATCTTTCCCTGCAGTCCTGTCCCTTCTGTCAGCAGAAGTGGAGGATCTATTATTCACAATGGCCTCATAGTATAGATGCTCTTTTCCACCTAAGGCCAAGTGTGCTCGGGTCGGGGACAAGGGTTAAGAAGCTGTAAGTTTGAAAGAGGCTACTGTAAACATTCTCTTTGAATTTGGCTGTTTATCATTCTCTTATTGGATGGGTTTGCTGCAGCAGAATTTATTTAGAAAAGATGCTTCAATTTCCAGAAATTAGCTTTAAATAAACACCAAATTTCAGTTTAGGTTGCATTATCTTTAGATACCTAGAAGTTTCAGACACGTAACTGATGTCTTCTGTGCATTCATTCTGTGTGTTTCTTCTAACTGCATTACTTGGTTCAGGAAAAGGGTCGTTGTATCTTTTTTTGCTGACGTTTTGACCACCACTGTGGTCTTCCTCAGAGCTCGCCACTGTTGGCGGCGTCACTTCCTTCGAAACGCCAGCAAACAAAGGTAAAGAAACTCTTTTTCTGTGTTAAAAAAGTAATGCATGCAACTGATGTGCACTTCTTCAGCATTATGATCATTTAGATTTCCTTCCAGCTAGCCTTTTAGTTAGAAGACACCAGAATGTCTAATTTTACTGAGCTTTTCTTCACAAGATCCTTTCAAATAACAAATTTATGGAAGGCTGAGGCAGTCTTTTGAAGACTGAAAACTGTGAAATTACCAACTTTTCATGTTCAGTATTCTCCTTTAAACTATTTCCCTTATACTGAGGGGGAGTCTGGGTGTGTGCACTCCTACAAAAAATACAATCTGTCTTTAACTGAGCTTTAATTCAAAGAACTTCATTTGAATTTCTGAACCAGAAAATATTTCCCCCTTTGCCAAGGAAAAGAAATCCCTCAAAGGCATGCAAATGAGACTCCTAAGTCAGTTTGAGCGGTGATGGGATTCTCTCTCGCACCCCTTGTTTTTGTTCCAAACCTGTATGCAGTGCAGTAGATCTGTGTGATAGTAGCGATCATGATGAGCATTTGCAGCAGCTAGCGTTAGCAGGTAGTCGTTCCTGGCCTGTGTCGCCTTGGCGTTACAGTCACTTCTCTTAGCTTTCAACTGGAAGAAAACAGACACAAATGTGTATGTAAAACCTAAACAGGAATACAAAAATGTAGAAAGGGCATGGCAGCTTCATTTATATAGCACATTTCATGCACAGAAACAATGCCATGTGTTTTTCAGGGGCAAGAAAACAGCAAATACATAAAACGGTCATCAAATCTTAAGAACAATGCAAGAACATAAAAAAAAGCTGATTTTGAAATCTAATTTAAAATAAACGAATACTATTAAATGTAAGAAGTTAAATAAAAAATGTTAATGTAGAGGAGCTTTAGGCTTTAATTTAGGATTCATTACAAAATTGAGAAACATTCATATTCTGTTTGATGACTTTTGAGGGAAGGCCTGCTTACCTTTACACTTGCTTTCTGTAAACTAATTCTTGATTGAAAAAGTCCCAGTTTGGACCTGAAACAACCAAACAAAGAGCTAATCTCAACAAACATTCAAATACTCATGGTTTTATTTGAAAAAAATAAAAGAAACAAGCTCTCATTCACACGTTACTTCAATGCATTTGCAGTGATCTCTAGTATAAACGAATGCCTTGTGAGTCGTTCTCTGTGGAAAAAAGCTCGGATGCTCCTGTTTCAGGAGTTGAAGTTAGACATTATTATTCCTGATAAGACATTTTGCCTTTGATTAGTTAACTGCAACAAGACTCTACCACCGACTCCATTTGACTTCCAACATTCACGTTTTATCTCCACAAATAACACAAGCCTGAAGGAGTTCTGCCATGTTGAGCAGTTGCTAATGCTAAAGGCTAGCTTCTACTAGCTGAAACATTCTCTGTTGTTGCCTGGACGCTAAACCACAGCCTTCCCCGTTGTGAGCCAAGATGGGTGACTCTATGAATGTTCAATTCCTGTGATTTAGATCTAAGTGGTCTTTCTAATCTGAGTGTTTCCTTTTCTATTGGCACCTAATGCAGGAAATCGGTATTGAGGACTATTTTCAGCTAATTGCAAGTTAGAGGCTCCCATTAACCAATGTTAAGAGAAACATAAAAGAAACTTGTTTAAATTTTATTTTTTTACACATACATGAATTATTTAGGCTTTTAGAGTCATTTTTGTGAGAAAACTTTTTTCCCGTAAACCATGAGGGAGTCCTGTTAGCTTAATTCAGAGAAAAATATGTATTCTAATCTGACACAGAGGAAACTTTAAATGTTTATAATTCTACTCATGATGGACCACAACCATAAAGTTATGAGTTTGCTGCACGCCCCAGAGAGCAGAGACCAACCAGAGGGAGAAACCATCGGACAAACCAGAGAGATTGAGGAGGAGCAGTGGGAGCAGCAGGTGAGTTAACGATGCTAGCTTAAACTTGTGTGCTAACATCACAATATTGTACAGATTACCATCATGTACCAGACAATTAAAATAGTATCGGTCAGTTAATTTAATATTAATACTTGACCACAATAAACTAATGCGCATCTGTCAGCGGTCTCATACTCGTCATTATCCATTCACGTAACTAGTTTAGCGCTTAGAGAGACCTGTCATCCGGTTCTGGAGCTCACGCGGGCTTCTTTGAGCTGGATCCGACCCAGACACCAGCAGGTCAGTTGAGCTCGTATTTTAAAAGCCGTACACCCTCTCCTGGTGGTCCAAGCGGCGGTTCTGATCTGGTTTCAACCCACAAACCAGCTGCCCCACTGAGCTGTGCATCTCTTCTGGTGGTCGGTTCTGACCTGGTTCTGATGGTGATCTGAGTTTCAGAAATCCGCATTTAATTTTTTAGACCCAGCCACGGGTCTCCGGTGTCCAGCGCAGACCTCCCTGTCCTGGTACCGACCAATGTGGGCTACAGAAGTCCATCTTTTCAGCTGCACAAAATGCCCTCAGGCACGGCGATAGAGGCGTTGTTTCTCTTATATGGAGACCCGTGGACTCGTCCAGACAGGCTGGAGTTGGTACAGCCTTCACTAACTATAGTTTATCAAAATGAACACAACCCATAACTAGTAAACACACACACTGACTGGATAACATGACCTCTCTACCTGAAAACTGTCCGCTCTCCACCCTGAGCTGAGGCAGCGCCTAGCTTCTAACTCCCTTTGGTTACGTCAGAGGTTCAGATTTAGAAAAAAAAGAGCCTTTTTAGAAGCTTTGCTGAGAAAGGTTCTGGTTTTTACTCCAAAAACTCTGCTGTTATGTATTTTAAAATGAAATATCCGCAATAAGCATTTCAATTTGCTCTTGAAGCCTCCATGTTAAACTCAGAGTGAGCAATCAGATTTAAAAAATGACAAGAAAGAACCGGTTTCTCTGTGAACTTTAATTATTAATATCTAACAGGAATTTAACTTACTGAGTAAAACACTCAGCAAACATGCCTACAGTAATATAACTGGCCAGTATGGTAATCATGTTTTTCTCAGCTTTACAAACAAATACAAAAGCATGTTTCCCTTCACTTATGTCATTTTACTCAAGTTTACACTCTTCAGAGGCAGCAGAGTAGCTTGTGTGGTTCTGACTATTTACTGATTGATACAGAGCCACAAAAAGTAGATTGGCTAATCGATGTGAGCACTAACTAGAGTTGAGGATTCAGTGAAGTGAGAAAGTCACCATAGGTACTACCACCAAGGGGGATGGCAGGAAAACAACATTCATCTGCACTGAATCAAAATCTGGAACTAATTGAGAGGGAGAGAGAGGCAACACTACACATGAAATGAATTAGCGTTTTTACATCTCTCTATCTCTTACACACACACGCGCGCGCGTGCGTGCGCGCGCACACACACACACACACACGTTAACGTACTTGGCCTCAATGTCAGCCTTTTCCCGTACAGCGTGGGCCACCTGCTCGCAGTCGTAGTATTTTTTCTTTGCTTTTGCCAACTCCTTCACAGACTCCTGCAGCTCTGCTTGAACACAACTCAACTGATCGATGGTCTGCATGAGAGAAATTACACAACAGACAAGCTACTTTAGTGGGTCAGTGTGTAAAAACCACCAGAGGGATGGAGAACACCTATTCCCGCCAGAAGACACGAGTAACCTCCGCCGACCACACACCCACTCACCTTTTTGAGCTGCTGTTCCTTGTAGAGTCTAACGGTCTTGGCTGGCTCTGAGACTTGGCTCTTGTAGTTGTCACATACATTAAGTCTGGACTGGCTCACCTGAACCGTACCCTCCAAGTAGGCCCTCCACACTGCATACACATTTCTATTTGGAGATGAAAGAAGAGCAGTCTCAAGAACAACTCAAAACAAAAAGATATTTCGCATAAAGACAAGTTGAAATTCTTAGTTCCACTTGTCAGTGAGTAAAAAGCATCATTTAATATGAAAACTTGTGTAAAAGTAAAGAGAATGTTAAAGAGGCTCTGCAGGAACACAGTATTTGTAAAAGCTTCTTATCATAATTACTGACTGCACTGGACATGAGCAGGAAATATAAATGCATTTTTAAGTTTTATAGTCACAATGTAAACAAATGTACCTGTAGTCTGTTCTCTGGTCATCAGGGCTGATTCCAGGCCAGTCTTTCTTTAAGTACTGACTTGCTAATTTTTGCAGAGCCTGAAAGTACAAAAGCACAAACCAGGGTGTCTGATTAGAGATCAGTCAGTAGTAAAATATTTAGATTTTATGACTTTGATGCATTCAGAGAAAACACACATTATAACAGTATACACACACACACACACACACGCTAGTTTTTCTATTCATATTAGGACTTTGCATTGACTTCCATTCATTTTAGTAACTGTATTTATGCCTAACCCCTACCCTAATCAGTAGGGATGTGAATCTCAGAGCAACTCACGATTTGATTCGATTCCGATTCTCGGGGTGCCGATTCAATTCAGAATCGATTCTCGATTTAAATCGATTCACAATCAATATTAACAAATATTGTCAGTTCCAGGATTAACTACTTTGTTGTGCAAGTTAGTTAAAGCTATGAGAATTTTTTTTATTTTACTTTAAACTAGTCATGCTAAAAAAAAAGCTCATTTACAAGGTAAAATAAAGTGATTCTAAAACTGTAAACAGAAACTATCTTTTGACCAAAAGGCAACATTTATTTTTGCTTACCTTGTAAAATATAACAAATCTTTAGTTACCTAACAGTAGCTTTGAAAGTAATACAGTCAAATACTTTTTGAGTATCTGTGGAAACAAGTTTAATATTTGAGTCCTCAACCTGTTTTAAAAAAAGTGCCTCAGATTTCTTACAAAGGAAAACGTTTTCTCTCATTTATCAATAACTTCAAATAAACTCATGAGTAATCCTGAGTACTCACTTATCACCTTAGAAAATAAATATGAGAATATCTCAAATTTCTGAGTATGGAAAAAAAATTACATTCTAGTCCCCCACTTATCAGCAGATTCAAAAATAAATCATTCCAATTTATGGGACCACAAAAGTAAACGGAGTACTAACTCTCCTAACAAAGACCAAAACAATGTACAAAAGTGCATCTCAAGCCTGAAACATGCCAAACATTTGAGTTCCTGGAATTGATTCCGAACCTTTGTGAATCGATTCTGAATCTTTATAAATAAGTATCCCGATTCAGACTTGAATCGATTTGTTTCAGCACCTCTACTAATCAGTGTGTGTTTCTAAACCTAACTGTAACAAAAACTCAATTCACATCTGACCTCTAACCCTAAAACACAGATGCCCGTATTAGAACCAGGTTTTTGGCACTAATAAGGTCCATCGGTCTTCAGAAGATTAATGAATATGCCAGTTTTGGTCCACAGTACGTACGTGCGTACGTAGACAGACAGACAGACAGACAGACAGACAGACAGATAGACTTAACTGTTTGTTGAAAATTGTGTTTTTTAATTAGTGTTCGATCATGTTTTTACATATTTTGTGAGTCAGTTTGTGTAAATATTGATAAAACTACTTGAAAACTTAACATAAAACATTTCTAAACTTTAAGAACAACTGAAGAAGTGAAGCGTCCTTCCAGCCCACTGCCCCACTCTCAATCCAACCCAGAACTCAGAGGATCTGCTGAAAGAACCCTGGACTCAGAAGACACCATAAGTGGACCAAATGTTCTGGCTGACTTGATTTTTCACAGTCATGGTATGAGCAAGTACTTAGTAGGAGTTTTATTCACCATCTAAACTGGTTTGTTGTGAATCATCTTTACATTTCTGTTTCAAACACAAAAACGATGCATCAGAACAGCTCTGTGTCAGCAACAACAAACCTCCACTCAGCTAAGTGTGAGCAGAAACACGAGGACAGGAAGAAAGGGGTAACCTACATATTCCAGACTGGGTCACTGTGTTAGCAGTGACAATCCAAAAACACTCAGCACTAGTGTCTATGCGCTTATATGAGCACAGGAGCATCAACATTCCCACAAATAAGACCGCATCAAAGCATCATCCCACAAGTCCTTTTGATTCAGATTTAAATTTAGAAGCTTCCTCTCTGTTTTTGGCCCCATCATTCATTCTCTGAATGAATCTACAGAACTGTATTATTTAAAGGACATGCATGCAGGAAGCATGCGATGCTGAACTTATTGCACAGAAACTGCACTGCCCAGTGCATGAGGAAACATGTTTGCTTTGAGAATAGTCACCCTTTCTCACACTATGACTCTCAAAGGATGGGTGGAGTGGGTGTGGAGGGCGTTGGAGAACGAACGTCTCAGACTGAGCGTGATTGTTAGACGGAGGCAAATGAAGGAGAGGAGGAGGGAGACGAGGTAATAAATATGCAATAAAAAAGGGCTTTATTGTCTTCTTGGTGAATGAACACGTGGAAACAAGTAGAGATTTTCTTGAATGATAAATAAAATCTGATTTTTTAAGGAAGAGCATTATGCTTTTACTGGCACACTTTAGCCTGTTTATTATCTGAGAGAGCAAACTCACAAGCCTAAACGTAGGATAGAGAGATCGCCGGTGTCTCCGTGTTATCTCTTGGTGACAATGCATCAGTGGCTTCTGTGTGACAGCTGCAGATGCTTCAGTCTGCACTCAACGTAAAGCCTTTGGTGACAGACTTGTTCTGTAACACAGTGAGTGGTGAAAGTACCTTTTTATTTTGTCTTTCACACAAGCCACATTATTCACTCGCTCTCATTTCTGTGCTGTCAACACCTGACTGTGCCTTAAAGGACATGTTGCCATGGCAACTTCCCATAAGGTGAATGTGATGTGGAGCCGATCTTTTTAACAAGCACTTATAGAGTTAAACACTTTTAAACGATAACACACATCCTGTTTTTGTGAGTGTGATGAAAAAAGGGTACTAATGGCAGGATTTCCTCCGGGTGTGCGTGCGTGCGTGTGTGTGTGTGTGCGTGCGTGCGTGCGTGTGTGTGTGAAAATAAGAATGAAGTTGACCAAAATTAAATGTTGAAAAAAAAAACACTGATTATGAATGTCAGTTTGTGTTCATTTGTACTTTAATTTTTGCTCTTCTGTGCAGATTCAAGTATGTTTTTACAACTATTACTCATCAGTGCATGAAAGACACTATAGATATCCAAAATGATACATAAATGTTTTCATGGGACTGGAAAGGACGCCTGCAAAGTGCATGCTCTCAAGTAAATCCTGATCTTTATTTTCTTTCTCCTTTTGTGCATCTGTCTCTTCAGCTCCCAATACTGTCTTCTTTTCTTCATAAATCAATACACTCGACTGTCTTCCTGACTGCAGTTTTCTTTTGTGCAGCTGTGTGTTGGTTCATGTTGTCTCTGACCTCTTCATCTGCTGAGACAGCTGAAGGGCAGTCAGAGACAAACGAGCGTAGAAGGTAAGAATGGGTGTTGAGACAAACTGAAAAATGATTGCCGAGATGTTTAGGTTTGGAAAGGATTGCAGCTGACAACACTTGTTTGTTGTGCTAAATGTTATGAGTGTGATGTGTACAAATGTGAGAAACAGCGGTAACTTTATCAGGCTTTTTCTTCTCTTTTCTCCTTGAAATATCTAAACCTGAAAAGGGAAGAAGAACACCAGAGTGGTTGTCTTGAGACTATTTGTGTTCAAACCACAATCCCAGCTCAGATAAAAAGACATTTCAAATAGAAGTAAGTTCAAAGGGCAGCAGTTGGGACAAACGACTGGATTTTATTATTTTATTTATTAACTTTATTCTATTTGTCAATCTGTGGATGACCTTTTAATTTAGTTTCCAACTCTTTGTCCCTTGGTGTGTTTCGTTTGTGCAGATGTAATCCTTGTACTCCCTCTGGGACGGGGTATTCAATTATGGTCCTGGAGGGCCACTGCCCCGGTGTTTTAGCTGCTCCTCTGCTCCAACACGCCTGATTCAATAACTGAACCACCTCTTCAGCATGTTCTCCAGTTTACCAGTTTCCTGTAAGTCACCCAATTATTCAAACCAGGGCCTCATTTATCAACTGTACTTACGCACAGATCTGTG